CCTCTGCGTGGCCTTGGGAGGGGTGGCTGGCTTAAGGAGAGGCTCATGGGCTGGAGGCCACCCTCCCACACCCTCGTGGACAAATCTAGTCGAGTCCCAGCTAACCCCTGATTCCAGCTCTCTCGGAGCTGAGCCAGGCTGGTTGCAGGGTCCCTGGCCTTTGCTCCTGCCGCTCCCCCTGCTCCGAACACCCAGCTTGTCCTTGTCTCTGCTCGCGCCTTTCAGGGTTTTGTTTGACATGCCTCTCATTCAGCGGATTCTTGTTGAGAGGGTGCTGCGTGCCAGGAACTGTGCTAGAATTAACTTCCTCTGCGCTGCCTTCAGCATGATGTCTTCAACTTGTAATGGAGAACAGCCGTCTTCTCCGAGGTCACTCCTCTGGCTGCCTCTGCTGTGGGGCTGAGTCCGGGAAGCTGCAGGGACAGCTGAGAGCTTTGCTCCTGAGAGACAGCCAGACAGCCTTTGCGTTCAGCCTCAGGACTCCGCCAAAGCATAGTGTGTCTCTTACAGCAGACGGGAAAGGAAAGTGACCACAACAGGCAGGGAGGAGACGGGTCACTCAGTGTGGAACAAGTAGCTTTAAAACCCAGTTGCCGCCCTGGCTGGTTTGGTTCAGTGGATAGAGTGTTGGTCTGTGGACTGAAGGGTCCCAGGTTTGATTCTGGTCAAGGGCACATGCCCAGGTTGTGGGCTCGATCCCCAGGAGGGAGCATGCAGGAGGCAGCCGATCCGTGATTCTCTCTCATCATTGATGTTTCTATCTCTCTCTCCCTCTCCCTTCCTCTCTGAAATCAATAAAAATATAAATAAATAAATAAATAAATAAATAAATAAATAAATAAATAAAACCCAGTTGCCTGAGCACAGGGACAAATTTCCAGGATGGTGACCTGGATGTCTGAGAAGCAAGGAAGTGTGGGCTACACATCAGAGAGAACCCTGTCAATCACACTTCAGCTCTCTGGAGAGCCCATTTCTAGCCAACACCTTCCCCCCCAGCCATGTCCTGACTGTTTTGCACACTTGATGTGTTGCTTGTAACTTGGATGGATGGCTTGTGAGTTGTGCCTCTCCGGTTTCATTGTAAACCTCATGAGGGCATATTGTCTGCTTTCCCTGCAGTACCCAGTACAGTGCTTCACAAATGCTCGTCATCTGCATGAGTGAAGAAGAGGGGGGCGCGGGGGCGGGGGGGGGCGGGGAGGGGAGGAGCAGCCAGAAAGTGATTAGGAGGAGGAGGTGGGGTCCAGCCTCAGAGCACCAGCTACCCCACAGGGCCGAGAGGCTGCAGCAGGCCCGGGAAACTCATTACTGGTCTGACAGCGCCGCCAGGGGAGTAAGGAAACTTAGCCCGCGTTCCAGTCAGGGCGAGAGGCTCTGGCTCCGACATGGGGTTGTGTGTTTATCAGGATTCTTTTGGTTACAAGGACAGAACCCAGTGCAAACAAGCTCAGCAAAATAAAAAAGGGGAGTGTGGGGGGAATGTGGCCCTGGCCCGGGAGCTGATTAGAATGTTGGTCTGATACCCAAGGTTACCGGTTCCATCCCCATCAAAGCACATACAAAAATCAACCAGTGAATGCATAAATAAATGGAACAAGACATCCATGCCTTTCTTTCTCTCCCCTTCCCCACCCCTCGTGCCCATCCTCTCTCTTTCTCTCTCAAATCAATTAAAAAAGAAAGAAAGAAAGAAAGAAAGAAAGAAAGAAAGAAAGAAAAGAAAGAATGGCTGTAAATGATCAGAAAGAGCTGCAGGAATTTGGGATCAGGACTGGCTGGTCAGCACCACTAGGACTCACTTCCTCTCCTTCCAGCTCAACTCTGTGTCTCCTTCTATGTTATCCCATTCTTGCCTGTGGCAGAAAGGTCTCTTGGCAGGAAGCATGGCCATTGACAGCCCAGCTTAGCAATCTCAACAGAGAGAAGATTTCATGTATTTCAGGGGAGGACTCTGAACAGCCCTGTTTGAGTTTGTGGCCAATCACTGTGGCCAGGGGATGGACACTCTTACTGGCCAAGCGTGAGCTTTGTAAGCCCTCACATAGCTAGAGGTACAGGAAAGTTCTTTATAAATAATAGTAAGGGGATGGGAATTTTTCTGAGCAGATAAAACAAAGGCCAGAGACTATGAGCAGTCAATGAGGTGGCCAATGATTGTATATCTTTATATTTTCCATGCAGAGCCCAGCGCCTCTCAGGCCATGTGGTGATAGGGGCTGGATTATGTCTGTACTGCTCACCACTGTACCTGGCACCATGACTGCCTGACACCTATGAAGTTCTCAAAGATTTTTTTGAATGAATGAATGAATGAATGGCATCAAGTTGGTGCTCACTGCATAGTTTCCTGCCTGGCTTCACTCATTTATTCACTCACTGACTGTGCTAGGCATGGTGTGGTTGCCAAGAAAATGCAAGCGGTCGTCTTTGTCGTTGGTGAGGACCATACCAAGATCCTAGTGAGGGGCATTGGCACCTGGTGCTCTCAGGCATGTGGAGGGGGGGTGGGGTGGGGGGAACTGGGGCAGGAGGGGCCTTCTCAGGATGTGGGGCATCGGGCCTCCCTACTTTGAGCCCTCTCTGCTGCTCCATTTAGGTTTGCTGAGAGCGTGGACGCAAAGAACAGTCAGTTCTCGAAACGCGTCTGTTCCCTCCCCTTTCCCCTTGTGGATCGAGCTCAGCCAAAGCTCTCTTTCTCCACTGGGCCCTGGAGAAACAGCCTCCTCTCAACTGGCGGTGGAAAATGCTCTCCCAGAGCCCCCGGCCTCCAGCTTGGCAGATTCCCTGGGACCTCTGCTCCCAGATTCCTCATCCTTTTCTCATTGGCTGCCAAGGCAGTTCTGTGACCTGAAGTCTTCACCTTCTGCCTCCTCCAGATCCTTAGTGCCTTCAGGGAGTCTCCCTGCCCTCCGAAGGCACAGCCCCCTCCTCTGCCCCCCAAACACCCAGATTTTAAAGGGCTTCTTTGCCCTCATGTCCTGCTGTATCCAAACCCACTACTAGGTGTACCGGTTAATAATGCGGATTTTTTCAATGTGTAACTAGCGATGAACATTACTTTGAATAAAGCACTTTTGATGTTTCTTTTGAAATTATCGTGTTTTCTTTGATTACAAAATCAATGTGGATTATTAGCCAGTTAATAGTGTGGATTAACTGTTAACCAGTTAATAATGTGGATTAATCATTAACCGGTTAATAGTGCAGATTAACTATTAACTGGTTAATAATGCAGATTTTGTAATCCAAAGAAAATACGATAATATCAAGAGAAACATCAAAAGTGCTTTATGTCCATCACTAGCTACACCTTTCCCCCATCTTTCAGGTAATTTGTGGATACCGTCCCAATAGAACTTTTCTTGTTTTGAGGCAGACCATTCAGAGACCCAATTTTCCACTTCTTCGTACATTTTGAAGTGCTGCTCAGAACGTGCGTGTGCCATCGCTCGGAACAAATGGTAATCTGAAGGAGTAATACAACAAAATAGCATACATATCAAATCGCATATGTGTCAACATATGTGTAACTCCATCTATTGAAAAAAATCTGCATTATTAACCGGTACACCTAGTATTCTCTAACCAGGACAGTGCTGCGTGCTTGCTCGTGGCTCCAGTATTGCCTGGGACGTGTCACACACATAACAGGCACTCCAGAAAAATATGTGGATTTGAACCCAGAACCCAGAACGTCAGAGGAGGGAGGGGACTTGCAGCCGTGGTTCATGTGACACAAGAGGAAAATGAGGTACCTCAATTGGGCATCCTAATCGCTTTCCCTCTCTGGGCCTCAGTTTCCTCATCTGTCAAGTAAGGGGAAGGTGGCCTGATGCTGGGATTGCCTCTCCCGACTGGCACGGGTCCCTTTCATTTGCCGATTGTTACAATTGCACAGCCCGGCTGGAATGGCTGTGGCCCACGGGTGAGTTTTCTGCTCAAGGAGGAGGGGACGAAACTGTCCCCCGGAGTTGCTGTGGGCTCCTGTGATGGTTTGGGTTGTACTGTCCAGTGTGTCCAGTTCCATCTCTGAGAAACATCTATGAAAGCAAGCACTATTTTCTCCCTTTTCCGGTCCCAGGCCCTTTCCCTACCCCCTGCTGAGGGCCACTTTCTATTACAACTGACTGTCTTCTTTGCTGAAGTGGAGCTTCTGAGAACCAAATCCCCATACCCTAGAGCAGTGATGGTGAACCTATGACACGCGTGTCAGAGGTGACACGCAAACTCATTTTTTTGGTTGATTTTTTTTTGTTAAATGGCATTTAAATATATAAAATAAATATCAAAAATATAAGTCTTTGTTTTACTATGGTTGCAAACATCAAAAAGTTTCTGTATGTGACACGGCACCAGAGTTAAGTTAGGGTTTTTCAAAATGCTGACACGCCGAGCTCAAAAGGTTCGCCATCACTGTCCTAGAGCAACCTCGGCAAGCCTGGGTCAAGCCCTGGGGCCAGTTTAGGGTTCTAGGTGGCTTGCTGGAAGGGGAAGAACAAGGGGAGGGGAGGGGCCCCGAGGAGGAGTAGCTGTGGCTGTCACCTTAAAGGCCCTTCAGAGGTCACCTGTGTCTTGCCCAGAGAGGACCCCCAGCCTGGTGCTCTTGAGGAGTGGAGTGACCAGGGTCCATGCCCTGCCTTCCTGCCCAATGCTTGAGCACTCAGTGAACAGGAGCTGTGGGTGCTCCGTTTGGAAATATTCATCTGGCAGCTGGGACAGAGAGCAGACAGACAGACTGGTGAGTTGTGGTATCAAGGCCTGAGATTCATTCATTAGTTCATTCAGCGTGTATTAAGCACTGCTGTATGTCAGCCAGTTATGGGTACCGGGGACCCAGTGGTGAAGACAGAGAAAGTCCTCAGGAGTTTATGAACAAGAAGGGGAGACAGAAAATAAAAACATGTCAGATAATGAGTTCTGGAAATGGCAGGATAGCTTGTATCAGTTGTGGATGAAAAAGGGGCCACATACTAAACTGAGGCTCAGGGGAGGCCAGCATGGTGAGCTTTACAAACTCGGAGACCAAAAGTAACCACGTCGGATGGTCTGAACTCAGTTGGTTAGAGCGTCAACCCAGTATGCCAAGGCTGAGGATTCAATCCCCAGTCGGAGCACATACAAAAATCAACCAATGAGCTGTGGCCATCGCTCCACCCGGCTCGAGAGGCTCGCAGCGCCGTGCCCGGGACCAGTCCCCAAAGTGTACGGCCCCTGAGTCGCAGCTGCCTTCGCCTCGCTCCCGGACGCCCTTGCCTCGCTGCCGAACGCCAGCATTCTGCTGCCCGCGTCCTCAGCCAGCCATGCTGGAGCAACTGAGCTCGCTGCCCACGCAAATGGATTACAAGGGCCAGAAGCTAGCTGAACAGATGTTTCAGGGAATTATTCTTTTTTCAGCAATAGTTGGATTTATCTACGGGTACGTGGCTGAACAGTTTGGGTGGACTGTCTATATAGTTATGGCTGGATTTGTTTTTTCGTGTTTGCTGACACTTTCTCCATGGCCCATTTATCGCCGGCACCCCCTCAAGTGGTTACCAGTTCAAGACTCAGGCACAGAAGACAAGAAACCAGGGGAAAGGAAAGTTAAAAGGCATGCTAAAAATAATTGATTGGGGTTTACATGATTCAGCTCTATTATTGCACCTGCTTTTGTATCCTGTGAGATGAGCTAAAGTTTCACAACCAAAACACTAGCTAAAAACCACCTATGCTCCTACGGTACAGCTGTTAAAGATTTTTTTCTCTTTATATTTCACTTCTCGGTTGGGCTTTGACTTGTACATAGTTTAGACCTCTTCAGAGTTTCTCTGAAATGGAGAACAGAAAATACAAGTATGCAAAGTTTCTTTCAGGTCTGCAAAAGTAATATTTGCTTCATAAATGGTAGTACAACTTAATTATCAAAGTTTTATAATTTATTACTAAGCTATTCAAATATTTTCAATTAAAACTCATAGTGCAAGTCTAGAAATTATTAAAAAAAATCAACCAATGAATGCATAAGTGAGTGGAACAACAAATCGATGTCTCTCCTCCTTTCTCCCTCTAAGATAGCACCTTTGAAATGTCAGAGTAAACTTTTCCAGGCCAGGACCACCATGCAAGACCACCATTATTTTTATCCTTTTGCCCCCGTACCATCTTTCTGTGCTATAGATGTTCATTGTTAACTATTCAGTACCCACCAATGCAAAAGAAGTTTATGTCTCTCTGTTTTACTCATTTTTAAAATATGTATATTTATGTTCATTTCAGAGAGGAAGGGAGAGGGAGAGAGAGATAAAAACATCAGTGATGGGGTTGTGCCTTGTTGTGTTGTATTATGTGCCCTTAAATCAACGCAGCAGATCCAAGCAACAGCAGCCTCCTGATCACCACACCCTCTGAGGATCAGCAGCTGTACGTGAAGCCTCCCCCCACCAGCCAGAAGAGCCACAAAAGCTGTGAACAGCACCCACCAGAGGAGCTGCTGCCAACTGAGGAGCAGCTGCTACCGCAACTGCCTGAGGAGCAACCACAGCCCAAGGAGCCACTGCCACCCAGGGAGCAGCCACTGAACGACTCAACATCTAGATATGTCAGTGAGATCAAACATGGGTAGACAAAGAAACCCCCAAAGGAAAGAAAAGGAGGACTCGCCAGAAAAGCAGCTAAGTGATACAAAGGCATGCAACATGACAGAAAGAATTCAGAATAAGGGTCCTAGAGTGCATAAACCGGATGGAGGAAAAAAATCAACAACATATACAAGAAGCAAGAAGAAACAGATGAAAAAATGAACAACTTAAGTAAGACCCAAGAAGAAATGAAGAGCGATATAGCTGCAATAAAAACACCATTGAAAGTATCAACAGTAGACTAGGAGAAGCGGAGGACCGAATTAGTGAATTAGAAGACAAGGAAGCAAAACACACCCAAACTGTACTGCAATTGGAGAAAAAAATTAAAAGACAGGAGGAGAGCCTAAGGGAGCTTTGGGACAACATGAAACAAAACAACATACGAATAATAGGGGTGCCAGAACAACAGAAAGAGGAACAAGGATTAGAAAACCTATTCGAAGAAATAATATCTGAACTTCCCTGAGGTGGGGAAGAAAAAAGTCACACAAGCACAGAGAGTCCCAAGCAAGGTGAACCCGAAAAGACCCACACCAAGACACATCATAATTACCATGGCAAATGTTCAGGACAAAGAGAGAATCTTACAGGCTGCAAGAGAGAGACGGAAAGTTACATACAAGGGATCTCCTATTAGACTATCAAATGATTTCTCAACAGAAACACATCAGGCCAGAAAAGAATGGACGGAAATTTACAAAGTGATGCAAAGCAAAGGACTGAATTCAAGAATACTCTATCCAGCCAGGCTATCATTCAAAATTGAAGGGGAAATAAGAAGCTTCACAGACAAAAAAAGGCTAAGGGAGTTTATCACCACCAAGCCAGCAATGCAAGAAATGCTAAAGGGACTGGTGTAAAAAGAAGAAACAAAAAGCTCAGGAAGAAAACAGCCACACACAAAAAAAGAAATGGCTACAAACAAGTACCTTTCAATAATAACTTTAAATGTAAACGGACTAAATGCTCCAACCAAAAGACATCGAGTGGCTGAATGGATAAAAATACATGACCCATACATTTGCTGTCTACAAGAGACCCACCTCATTAGAAGAGACTCACACAGACTGAAAGTGAAGGGATGGAAAAATATCTTTCAGGCAAATGGAAAGGAAAAGAAAGCTGGGGTAGCAATACTTATATCGGACAAAATAGACCTCAAAGTGAAGGCCATAACAAGAGATAAGGAAGGCCACTTCATAATACTAAAGAGATCAATACAACAAGAAGATATAACCCTGGTAAACATATATGCACCCAATGCAGGAGCACCCAAATACATAAAAAAACTCCTGGAAGATATCAAAGGAGAGATCGACAACAATACAATCATAGTAGGGGACTTTAATACACCACTGACATCACTGGATAAATCCTCTAGACAAACACTCAGCAAAGAAACAGCAATTCTAAATGACTCACTAGATCAGATGGACTTGATTGACATCTTCAGAACGCTTCACCCCAAAGCCAGGGAATATACATTCTACTCAAGTGCTCATAAGACACATTCAAAAATAGACCACATATTGGGTCACAAACAAAGTCTCCCCAAATTCAAGAAGATTGAAATCATACCAAGCATCATCTCAGACCATGATAGCATAATATTAGAAATAAACTACAGTAAAAACAACCCAAAATACTCAAACACTTGGAAGCTGAATAGCATGTTATTAAATGTTGATTGGGTTACCAGTGAGATCAAAGAAGAAATTAAAAACATCCTGGAAACTAATGACAATGAAAACACAACAATCCAAACCTATGGGACGCAATGAAAGCAGTCCTGAGAGGGAAGTTTATAGCTCTATAGGCCTATCTCAAAAAACAAGAAAAAATGGTAGTAAATCATCTAACTCTACAACAGAAAGAATTAGAAAGAGAGCAACAAGAAAACCCCAGAGTGAGCAGAAGGAAGGAGATAATAAAGATTAGAGCAGAGATAAATGATATAGAGACCAAAAAAACAATACAGATAATCAATGAAACCAAGAACTGGTTCTTTGAAAGGATAAACAAGATTGACAAACCTCTAGCCAGGCTCACCAAGAAGCAAAGAGAGAGGACCCAAATAAACAAAATCAGAAACGATAGAGGCGAAATAACAACAGACCCCACAGAAATACAAATGATTGTTAAAAAATACTATGGACAGCTCTACTCCAACAAACTAGACAACCTGGAGGAAATGGACAAATTCCTAGAAAAATACAACATTCCAACACTCAATCAGGAAGAATCTAAAAATTTCAATAGGCCAATAACTATGGAAGAAATTGAAGCAGTCATAAAAAAGCTTCCAGCAAACAAAAGCCCAGGACCAGACGGCTTCACAGGGGAGTTTTACCAAACATTCAAGGAAGAACTAAAACCTATCCTCCTCAGACTACTACAAAAAATTCAAAAGGAAGGAACACTTCCAAGCTCATTCTATGAAGCCAGCATCACCCTAATACCAAAACCAGGTAAAGACAACACAATGAAAGAGAATTACAGGCCAATATCCCTCATGAACATAGATGCCAAAATCCTCAACAAAATCTTAGCAAATTGGATCCAGCAGTACATCAGAAAGATCATACACCATGACCAAGTAGGATTTATCGCAGGGATGCAAGGATGGTATAATATCCACAAATCAATAAACGTGATACATCACATAAACAAACTGAAACAAAAAAAAACATATGGTCATATCAATTGATGCAGAAAAAGCATTTGACAAAACCCAACACCCATTTTGGATAAAAACTCTCAGCAAGGTGGGAGTAGAAGGATCATACCTCAACATAATAAAAGCCATATATGACAGGCCCACAGCCAACATCATACTCAATGGACAAAAACTAACACCATTTCCCCTAAGGACAGGAACAAGACAGGGATGCCCACTCTCACCACTCCTGTTGAACATAATACTGGAAGTATTAGCCATTGCAATTAGACAAGAAGAAATAAAAGGCATCCAGATTGGAAAAGAGGAAGTAAAACTGTCCTTATTTGCAGACGACATGATATTATACATACAAAACCCTAGAGACTCCATCAAAAAACTACTAGACTTAATACACAAATTTGGCAATGTAGCAGGATACAAAATTAACTCCAAGAAATCTGAGGTGTTTCAATACACCAATAGTGAACTTTCAGAAAGAGAGACTAAAAAAACAATCCCATTTACCATCGCACCAAAAAAATTAAGCTACCTAGGAATAAACTTAACTAAAGAGGTAAAAAACCTCTACTCAGAAAACTACAGGACGTTGAAAAAAGAGATAGAGGAAGACATAAACAGATGGAAGAACATACCGTGTTCATGGATTGGTAGAATCAACATCATTAAAATGTCCATACTACCCAAAGCAATCTATAAATTCAACGCACTTCCCATTAAAATACCAATGGCATACTTCACAGATCTAGAACGAACTCTCCAAAAATTCATCTGGAATAAAAAAAGACCCCGAATAGCTGCAGCAATCCTGAGAAAGAACAAAGTAGGTGAGATCTCAATACCAGATATCAAGCTGTATTACAAAGGTACTGTTCTCAAAACTGCCTGGTACTGGCACAAGAACAGACATACAGATCAATGGAATAGAATAGAGAGCCCAGAAATCGGCCCGAACCAATATGCTCAATTAGTATTTGACAAAGGAGGCAAGAACATACAATGGAGTCAAGATAGTCTCTTCAATAAATGGTGTTGGGAAAATTGGACAGATATATGCAAGAAAATGAAACTAGACCACCAACTTACACCATACACAAAAATAAACTCAAAATGGATAAAGGACTTAAATGTATGACGGGAAACCATAAAAATTCTAGAAGAATCCAAAGGCAATAAAATCTCAGACATATGCCGAAGCAATTTCTTCATTGATACAGCTCCTAGGGCACTTGAAACTAAAGAGAAAATGAACGAATGGGACTACATCAAAATAAAAAGCTTCTGCACAGCAAAAGAAACCATCAACAAAACAACAAGAAAACCCACTGTGTGGAAAAACATATTTGCCAGTGTCATCTGATAAGGGCCTAATCTCCAAAATGTATAGGGTACTCATACAACTTAATAAAAGGAAGATAAACAATCCAATCAAAAAATGGGCAAAGGCCAAAACCGGTTTGGCTCAGTGGATAGAGTGTCGGCCTGCGGACTGAGGGGTCCCAGGTTTGATTCCGGTCAAGGGCATGTACCTGGGTTGCGGGCACATCCCCAGTG